TGTATAATCATATATAATCAATAAATCTCCTAGTGGCTCACCGGCTCATCGTGGCTGGGAAGTGTTCCTGGGTGTAGGGCTGCGATGTACAGCGAGGGGATTCATCCCACGGCAGGGTGCCTCAGGATGAGAAGTCCAGCTTTTTCTTCACGAAGCCTGGCTAAGTGTAAACCAATAACAGGCTCGACCACCGTCTTGGTATCAAACTAGTTGCATGCTGAAAATCTTCCTCTGATCCATAAGGGCTGCGACTGCCTGTAGTAGTGACGACCTGAGGAAAACTTTGGCTAAGCTGATCCCGGGATTTCAGGGAAACACAATGGCTCAACCAACAAATCTCCGAAAAATAGAGATTGTGTTGGGGCCCGCACAACCAGTGAGGACGGGCCGTTGACATTGGTCCAATTAGTTGGTGGAGAGCAGAGGCACAGAGTAATACATGAGCGAGAACTGTTTAATCTAAACCAATTGGAACACCTGCAACGAATAAACGGCTCTGAAGGACGCGAAACCGCCGAAACGTCGGCTATTGTACCCTAATAAATTCTATAGAACCAACCTTGTGTTTGCTTATTGAAGAAAAACAAAAGTAAACGCCCACTAATTGTCGATTGCTGGCGATAAGTTTCCATAGCTTGCTAAAACAAAGCACAAAAATGACCACACAGCAAAGCGCTTGGGTTTAAAAGTGTTTCGAAAATTCGCAAATGTTCATACAAGCTCAGAAATACAAACAACCGGGCGATTTTTCGTCGGCAACCAAAAACAGCTAAACTCTTCCGCCCCCTTCGCGATGTCAGTCAGCACATGCAACTGAGCTGGTTTTTCGGTGTTCCGCTGTTGTTTTTGTTAACACTTTCACGACCGTGCTCATTGAGGCATTAGTGTCAATACGTCCACTGCTGTCCGTTTGGGACCGTAGGTCCTGACATCAATGCTCGCGCTTTTTGTTATCGTATTTAGCTGCACAGCAGAGCTCGTTCTGCCAAAGTTTTCGTAATCAGTAGATAGGTTTTCCAGTAGAGATTTTATATCGGCTTGAGTCACGAATAGGTATTCTTACCACTAAGTACTAAAAAACACTGTACTACATCATAGTTCCGGAGGAGTTTGATTATCCTCTCGAGTTCCACAGCGATCTGTTGGCACACAATGAAATTCAGAGATAGGCTGCACTTTATCATCAGGAAAAGACGGCAGAGCACCGAACGCACTTTTTATAGAGGTGTTTGTAGAGTGCAGAAGATCTGTGCGTTCTCAAAGCGCGCATTATTAGAGAAGTTCTAGTGGGTACACTTAAAGTCGAATGAACACTCCATTAGCCACGGGTAGGAAGCAGACACACAACGAGGTATATATTAAAGAAAAAAATTGTTCTCGCAACGCAATGTAAAACTTCGGCGAGTAGAACCTTTAAGCACCTTGGATAAATTCCAAGAATCCAAAAACGAACTGCAAGGAGGAATGCCTCGTTGTCACACGAGATCTCACACAACATTCAGGACGATATTTGAAGCTGAGATAGGCATATTACCCTACCATGTGAACTCTGTACGGTTGTTTTCCTCGTGGAATACTCGCTAGAATACTCATAGGAAGCAGTGAGTGTGTGAAGAGGCCTTAGTTTTCAATGTGATTGAATTCAAGCATCGTAATTTCTCTGTCGAAGTTGCATAGGTGTTAGATTGCAGTTAACTTCCTCTCCCATGCCCTGGAAAAGGCGAAATCCACCGAAGCATCATGCTGTGAATAAATAATATATAGTAACAAACTGATTTCCGCTTACCAAGAACAATGTTGCCGCTACCACATTTCAACGACGTTGTGATGGAGCGGCTGTTGAAACGGGATAGATCTCGTCAATTGCAATTTATGCTTACGACATCGGATACTACAAGTAATCTTAGTCCACTTCCATTCTCTACTACTATTGGCAAACAGACAACAAATATTTACATGAATACAGGTAAAGCGATAAATATTAGCGGAAAAACAAGAAGAAAACCAGTATCCAGTACGTGTAGTTTTCTATTTACTGGCTATTAATACTTTTCACGGGAAAGTATGATGTGAAATACAACCATTATGACGCTAAAATATTTGCGAAACTTGGAACCCAGGCCAGACTCGATCCCTCGAGGGCTCTTTCCGAGGGCTCATGTGTTACCCACTGCACCACTGAAGCCCTTGCTTTGCCTTTCTCTCTGCCTGCTTTCTACCTAACGCTAGCATCAGCAATTACCCGTCAAGGGGAATGATTTGGGGAACACATAAAGGATAAAATCTCTTGGCGTTGATCAGTCTCCGAGAGTTGCGCCATGCATTCGATTTCATCAACCATCGTTGGAGCTGATTGAATGCTTATCTGGCCTTTACAATGACTCGTGGTGGCCTACCGATATCTCGTGCCAGTGCTTTTAACCTCCCAAACAAGTCTGGTAACAATTTTCCGACACCGGAGGGATAGAAGGCCTGGTGGGCCGTGGGCGCAGGGATCGATTCCACGTGTGTGTTGCAGGGCACCTCCGACCACTGCGTCGCATGCGCCCTACCACTTCCTCGGTAGTTTAGTGGTAGTGTCCGCATTTGTGCACTGTTCAGTACCACTAGAAATTATTCGTTTTACAAAACGAAGCTCCAGGATCTTACATCCATCAAAATCTGGTGTAGGGAAAGAAGTTATTTTCTAAATGGATCCTAATCTCAGACGAGTTTCGTTTACCAGACGCTAGGGATGGCGCTGGAGCGAGCGGTTGTCTCGTACACGAAATTCACTCTGATAGACTGTTCACAAATCTTCGCCGTTAACGGCAAAAACCACTAATTTGACAACGAGATTCTCCTTTCCTAGGTTAAAGCTAATTTTCACTTCAGTGGTCTACGACGTTCATCGTCAGCGATGATTCTTCAAGCTAGCATGGAAAAGTATTGCCTATTTTGCTGTATTTCACTGTGGTCAAAGAGTAGAACGCTGTAGCCCAACACGGCAATATACAACAGTACGACGCCCTACACAATCCAGAATTGGAAGAACTGTTAAAGCTCTTTCATGGAGAATCGTCAAGCATTCACGTGGTTTTCGTTTTCTTTTTCTACGCGAAATCGTTTAGCTTTGATATAGGCTGATCAACTAATCTGTTTCAATGTATAAACAAAGTCAGTTTTTCGTCTCTCACATATGGATTATAGATCAGGCGCTGGGCACTGATCAATCGCTAGAGGATTTTTATACATTCAACATCATCAACTATTGTTAGAGGTGATTGATTGTACGCATATCTGATCATTACAATTGCGTAGCTATCGAGGTAGCAAGACAGTTCTGCTATCCTGCCAGACAAGTCGCGTTCCAATTTGCTGCACGCTAGGTATGGAAAGCTAGGTGAGACGTGGGTTCGGGATCGAACCAATCACAATATGTGTTCTTTAAAGCAACTCTAAACACGATGCTACATGCGCCCCATCTTTCACATAGAATTCGAATGTTTACCTATCACAAGGGAATGGAAGTTTTACTGGACTCTCTAGCTCTTCGTTCTTAGGCACCATTCCAAGAAAAATATTAATTGCCAGTTCAAGATATGGCGAAGACCTTCTTTGGTCCCTCTTCTCTATCAGATTCTTAGTACTGAAAAAAGAGTAAGTGAATGACCATTTGCATGTTTTTTCCAATCGTCGATACTCATACTTGACTTAGGGCGCTGGGTCAAAATTATGACCTCTCAACTTTTATTTGATATATATATTCTTTTTTAAGAGTAATCCCGGTTCCAAACTCACCTGAGGTGCCTAGTTTGATCATATCTCAGCATCCCTAATGTGGATTAGGTAAGATTCCACAAGATCACTCTGCACTGCATCTTGCACAAGACTCCTGCAGGGCTCATCGTAACTTTAATATGACGGTTCACAGGAGATCTTGTGAATTTTTTTGTGGTAGGTTATGCTCATGCAAACGGCGCTACTGGTATTGTGTTCATGGTACCATTTGGCAATGGAAGTTGTCTGTTCTAAACAATTTATTAAGATATCAGCTACACTTTAAAGACAGAAGGCGAACACGTCGTGTTTCTATAAACTGCTGTTGATTAGGTGAGATGTGATTGTTGACAACTTATGTGTCAGCTGACCAGAGAGTTGTTCGTAGAAACACAGTCCCTTTTTAGTCAATGCCAAATTCAAATCATAGTTGGCTTTATAATTATTATGAGAGTTATTATTATTATTACAATTACTGTTATTGAGACTTAAGTACAGTCCTCACAATCGCTGGGATCCACCAACTGGTACTACCACTGTGGAAGGATTCGGAATAGAATCAAGATGGTAAGGAATTCAAACGCCTAGAAAAACAACTTCAGGGCAAGGGTCATTTAAGTTCGAAATGAATACTACACCAACATACTTCCATTACATACTTGGACATTATACTTCCACGTGATTTCTGTGCGGTTGGTCTCTACGTGACATACTTAGTGGAAACCTCATAGAAAGCGGCTCTGAAGAAGGCGAAATCCGCCGAAACGTCAGCTTAATCGTGAACAAAGAATAGTAACAGCTCGCGTTTGCTCAACAAAAATACGAAGAAAATCACTTGATCAATGCCGAGGTTAATAGAAAGTCGGTCGTGGCAGTTACACCAACATAGTTTTCAATATACAACGATTTACTGACTTTCGGATCAGGATTCTTAACCACCATAGATTTTAAGTCGAACATGTTTGCAACAACATCAGTTCATTTGCCTTTCGACTGGTGCACTAAGGGAATCTAGTATAAATGACATCACTTAATTGATACCACAAAGCGTTAGTGATACCACTACGATATCAAGGAAAGTATAAAAGCTTTGAGAGAAGCAATCGTTATTTGCTTCAGAACCAACGAAGGCACCAGATGGAGTTCTGCTTGGAGGAGAGCTGTTGTTGGTGACGATAAATATGGCTCTGCCTCTGTTTGATCTGCTATAGTGCTGAGGTGCACTTTCAGTTAGCGACGAGATGTCAGTAGCCTCCGCATCTGCGTATTCGTTGACGGATTCCGATGAAATGATCACTGTTGGAATGACAACTAATGCAAGTGAGCTATTCTTAGAACCATCTCCCTATATTTCATGACAATCCTGCAATCCTAGGTAATCTTGTGATCCTTTTTATCGGTACCCAATGCCGCCTTAGAACCCTTTAATACAAGTGCAGATCAGCTAGGCGCAAACATGGTCTCTTCGGTTGACTTCGTGCAAAGCAGGGAGATAGAAAACCGTATAAGGGCGGTACGGCAACAAAAGTGATATGCACGAATGCAAAGTACCAGCACTATTTAGCATCGGTTGATTCTCAAAAATCCATTTTGTTTTGTTGATAGGATATCGGTGGATTTTTTTAGCAAAGAAAACTTCTTCGTCCAGTTTCTATAGGTATTCAAGAGACGGATTTGCAAACAGCTCTTGAAGATACAAACGTGGTCATTGATGAGGCAACAAGTGAAAGAAATCTACTTGATCATGGTAAGTGGGAGAGTGTTATTCTTCGTGGAGATCGGGGTCACCTTCCCTCAACACATAGGGTTCTCGCTGCCTCTAGAGTACCTGCGGTTTGAGAAAGTGTGTGATTTTTCTCCTTTACGGGTTTACGGACTTTTCAACAATAAATGACGGGAATGGTAGAACAGCGGTTAGTGATGGCATCGATCAGAGAGCAGAGGCCTTAGTTCGATTGGCGCTCAATAATGTCCCCCAGTCAACATGGGACCGCCTTATGTCGGCTATCTCCAAGAATGCAAAGAACAATAGTCAATAGCCATGGATGGGCCTTATTGCCATAATAGACCTAAATGGCTTTTCATGATTTATTCTAGTTCGTAAGCTTTGATAAGCATTTCTTCAATTGCCCTTCTGAGGATAATTTAGGGAGGAAGCCTCCAATGATGACATCCTACCTTGTGAATCTTCCAGCATGACGTACCAAAGGGTATATAATATGTCACATTCACATGTGTGATGCGGAACTATGTGACGTACCACTAAACAGTAAATATTCAGTGGGTGTCAGTAATAAAAAGATTACGTTCTATTCGTCAAATATTGCTATTGATAATGTCCAGATGAAGTCGGGAGAGGAAGCGGAATGGATGCAAAAATTGAAATGCACATTAAAAGAAAGAATCTTTAAAAGGAATCATGACAGTCTATTGTATCACTACTTGCTTTTAGATACCCACATGCAATCAAATGTCAAGACTGCTCAAATGGGTACACCAGTGTACACTTCATCTCGCAGCGAAACAGATGTCGATATGGAGCGTAAGAGCGAAGAGCGCTTTTCAAAGATTTACAACATACTTATATGATTCAAGACAAAATCACTTCATAATATGACCAAGAAAAATCAGGAAGCTTAAGTCCGCGATGAAAGATGTGCAGGGCTTTAATCATGAAATAAATTGGAAGAGCAATAATGACCACCGCCCACTGCTTTTTAGTGACAAGCGAACAAGTGGAATGGAAGTCTTATTTTTTTCACCTTTTTTTTGAAGCCACCATTGGAAATTTCCAAGAAAAAATCAGACACGTTTAGAAAACACGGTTTCTGCGAGCTCATTATTGCCTACCATATGAGTAAATCTATGCGAAATATGGTCTTCCTATAGAAAACACCTTGTATGGATAAGATTCTTGCAACAGCAAAATATGTCATTATCACCCACAAAGATTCTCACATGTTTGCAAAACATCCATTCTAAGCCACATTCGAACCCACCATTACCCTTTCCACTGAGGCTCTTGATCTGCATTTCTCTCAGCTAGTTTTTTTTACCCTAACGGTGCCATCAGCAATCACTCGGAAATGGGAGGGGAGCAAAAATCGACATTGAACCCAGTTAAACTGAGGCTGTAGCCGAAACCACATTGTTTAACATTTCATCCACTATCTCAAACTAGCTGAGATAAATCCAAAGCAAGGGTCCAGTCGCACAGTGTGTAACACAAAAGCACCCGGAAAGGGAAATCGAAGGTTTAAACCTGGTTTGGCGTCAAAGTTTTGCAAATATCTCATTATCAGTGCGGCTGTACTTCCATATATAGTATCCTACTTCAAAAAGTCATGCGTAGTAGATGAAAAATTGAACGTTGTGGTATTACCATTTTTTAAATGGTTCAGAAGACGTAGTCGGCGCTGCGTCACCATTGAGTACCGCTGTTACGGGAAGTGTCTCGTGGTACAGCTTACCGCCATCGGAAACAAGTGTCGAAGGTGATTATTGTGAGCAGCTCTGGTAATCGTAAAAGCTAAAAAACCAGATATTGATTACAGTAGCTAACCTAATGGAGGAAAATCAGGCAGCATGCCATGCCAGTTTAATAGAAATGAAGGCACTTCAGTGCCAGGGTGAGTGGATCGCTTTGTTTAGCCTAAAAAAAGGAATATGAAACCTGTAAATTTCGAATGTCAAAATTTTAGTTGATCATGCTAGGCTTTTGCCTATGTTTTCTCTTTCGATAGTTTCCATGACGTACCTTAATATCTTCACTATAGAAATTGGTCAGGAGTTCATTTCAAGAATCCGCCCTAAGCAGTATGGATGAATGACATGCAGAAATGCATCTCGTCTAATTGGCGATCAGTTTGCCTTGTTACCCAACTTCCACCGAAGCGTGATATAGTATGCTATCAGTTGTGATGAGAATACAAAACTTTCGGTTCACCTGTTAAGTGTTTGTGCAACAAGTACACATGCAACCCCATAAGAAATTTGTTCAACTGAGCATGTCATTTTCAATGGGGATAGAGCCGCTGAACAAAACAAGGTATCCATAGCATGAAACACCAAATGGCTTTCAGAAACGTCGCTTTACAAACGATATCGTTCGTTATGAAAGATGTTGAGGAAGCAAAACAAGCTTGTTAATATGGCAAAGCTTTGAAGGAAACTGTACGATTTTGATCTTCGTGATCTTGCATGTCATCGGGTGGTAATTTCACACACTTGAACAGGTGTTGGAAAGGTCACATGAAACACGATTATCGTCATTACATAGTAATTGTACCCAGATTTAACTACAACCATTCATATCACATCTCAGTAAATCTTTGCGATAAATTGCTCCTTCTAAGGTTTCTTGAGGAATCTTTCTCTCAACGAGAAGATAACCACGTATGGAACGTTCCCGTTGACTGATATGGTTCTTAAAGGTGAAATGTTCTTCTAATATAAATTTGGGCAAGGTGGTATTACGCCAATAGTAAAGCGATTCATCAAACAACAACTTCAGCACTATATTTGTTTTATAAGAAACGAAAAGAGAGTTGAAAAGGATCTTTATTGCTGGGTGTTTTTCACCAATTATGATCTGTCTGCAACAACGTTCAGAGCTAGATCACGGGTACATGTGATTAGTCGACCGAAATTGAATGGATTAAGCGGAACTTGTGCTAGTCGACCGACCGGTCACGAAAGCAGAATTGGGTAAAGGCTAAAAATGTTCCAGTTCGCTCTAATCGTTTCCCTTTTTCTCGGCTTAGCCACTCAAAGAAACGAGAGAATGTTAGTTGTCTCCAGCAGATTGTCATCATTTCTTCTTAAAACGATTTTCTTATTTAGGTAACCATCAAAACTCCTAAAACTTCGTCACAGCACAGGAAGTGTATGTTAAATACTTCAATTATCACCAATATATCGAAAAAAACATACAACTTAACTAAAAGAACAGGAACAAATAGAAATGACTTTCATTCGCGATAGCGCTCGCTACAAAGTGATTAAAGGTATACAGGCAGCTACCTCACTACTTATCTCGAATGTTTTTTCTAAATCAAAGAATATCAGGACTAAAGGGCGCATGTGACGCAGTAGGCGAAGGTGTCTTGCAATACACTTAAGATCGATCGCCACGCCGCAAGCCCACCAAGCTTTCCATCTCTCCGGGGCCAGCAAATGGCCTGCATATTTGTGTGGGGGATAGTGGCACTGACTCGATACATCGGTAGGCCTTCGCGAGTGATTGTAAAGGCCAGATATGCATTCAATCACCTCCAAACGATGCTTAATGAAGTCCAATGCATGGGGCATTCCTCAGGTATTGATCAACGCCGAGAGCTTTATCCTTTACCGTCTATCCTTTATACAGGACCAGTGACTGAAAGAAACTGGTTTCGTTTGAAGACGTACGTGCATTTAGCAAAAATTTTCAGGTGAAACACAATACATTGTATACAGGCTATCGATGGAGCATTCACAGGTTTCGTTGTATTCCAGTGGTGTTTCGTCATGTAGCGCTCAATTATTTCCTTTAAAATAAAAATGGATCTATCTTGTTTATTCGAAACAGTCTCCATTACACATATACCCTCTTCTACTACAAAATTGTCATTAGTTCTCTAGCTCACTGCGGTTAGGGGTGTTTCTCAGCGGTGGCTTTTGATTCCAGAAAAGCTCCTTCCAATAACAGCGCTGCCCAACTAGAAAGAATTCAACGTTCTCAATCAAAATAACACCTAACACCAAGCCTCTGGTAGAAATCGTCTCCAAATATTGACCAGGGATGTGATAACATAGGAATGAGTGGTCGCTTGTTTTTTGACCTCCTAAAGTAGAAACCTTGTCAAACCTTCAGCACAACGAATCACTTTGTTTCTACAACCTGGTCTAGTTGAGCTGACACTTGGTTGCTGATATGTATTTATGATTTTCAATAACTAGAACCTTAGAGACTTCATTTTTTCCAGGGCATTCAGAGCAAATTCAATAGTCTTCGTAAAAACTTAGTTAGTATTTCATATTTTCTAAAGCATGTCCAGACCTAGAGCGCGTGTCACGCAGTGGTCGGAGGTGCTCTGCAACGCACACGTGGGATCGATCTCTGTGCTCAAGCCCGCCAAGTCTTCCATCCCTCCGGGATCGGCAAACTGGTACCAGACTTGTTTGGGAGGATAGCAGCACTGGCTCGATACATCGGTAGGCCATCGTGAGTTATTCTAAAGACTAAATGTGCATTCAGTCACCTCCAAACCATGCTTAGAGAAGTCGAATGCATGGCGCATTCCTCAGGGATTGATCAACAAAACGAAGAACTCGCATGGTGTGTGGGTGAATGCGTTAGCCGCGGTAGAGGGTAATAGCGTGTTCGGTCCTCACCGCAGACACCAACGGTCCGGAGTTTTGCAAACATCTCAACAAGCTTGTGGTTATGTTTCGCATAGTACCTTGCTATTACAAAATAGTAGGCAGCGATTAAAAATTGACAGAAATGCTTGATTATTTTTGAAGAACTTAATTAATAGTCGGTCAACATTAACTCATCGGTTGGTTTGTAGTGCATACTGTTTAAGATCGCAGGCTTGTAGTGTCATGGTTGTAGTTTTATAAATGTATCGTTTACATATTGCCACTAAAGTCAATCCAATCTCTATCCCTCATAGTATGCCAAAACCTCAAACACAAACTTCTTGATGCCTTTTGGATAAATGCCAAAAACCCAACAATGAGTAGCATGGAGAAATGCCCAGAGGTTACATGCGACCTGACCCAGTATCTTCGCATCAATTTTTAATGTGTGGTGGTGCAGTCGTCGACCATAGGCAACTAAAATCAGCTTTTCTTCCTCAGAGGAATGCACGTAAAAAACTGCGGCTTTTTGTAGAAGCTGTTGATATGTGATTACCATATACGTTTCCTTCTTTCTGTGTGTTACCGATGCGTTTGGAGCAGTAAATTGCCTATCGATGTACCCTTCCAGACTCCGAAGAAGGCGATACTGCTGAAACGTCAGCTAGTGTTGTGTTATATGTGCTTTTGCACGGGAACAAATTTGTGATGTGTAACAACCTTGCCATTGCTGAAAAAGAAAGCGATACATTTATAATCCAGTGCCGAGGTTAATAGAAAGTTGACCCTGAAACCTGTCGCTTGAGTTTTTCATAATATCTAAATGTAATTCATTACCCATTCTATGCACAATAACTTCGACGGAGGGACATATTAAAAAAGTAAAGGCAACCATCTAATTCGTCATGCAATCGAAGTGCTTCGGTAAGAAGTCGGCGTTTTTGAAATAATCAAATGTAGAATGGCAACTACAAAAAGAACCAGAAGCAGTTACTTGGCAACTTTATTATAATATCGAGGAGAAAGTGGTCACTACTGCAGTTGCTAGTGGAAAATAGGGCTTCGAGTCAGCTCTCGGCACCGAATAGCCACTAGCTTTAAGTAGAATGCTCGACTTCGTGAGAAGACGTCACGCGAGACTTTTCGTAGTTTCCACAGGGCAATACCTCAAACTTGGGTAATTAAACTGTTTATATACATAACTGCAACACCAACACAACACTAATATCGGCAGGGAACTACTAGCGGACAAATAAGGCAAGTTCAAGGCTATGAGGTGTTCCACCTACTACTGAAGCGAGGCTAACAAGAGCATAAAAGTATTGTAAATAATACTATTACAACTTTAACTTATTATTTACTGCCTACTTTTAATGGCACGTTATACATTATGAAACAACTTCAATGATGCTGAAATATTTGCAAAACTCCGGACCGCAGGTGTATGCGGTGGGGAAAGAGCGCGCTATTGTCCTTTCCAGGGAGTAGCGCACTTCACCACCATACTATCCGGGTCCTTCGTTTTGCCTGTCTCTCAGCTAGTTCTATTGATCTTTTGCCATCAGCAATCACCCGTCAGTGGGATTGATCTGGGGGGCCCAAATCGGCAACGAACCCAGTTAAGCTTAGGCCGCAGTTATAATCACAATTTTAACTTATTATTTACTGCGTACTCTTTTTAACGGCAGGGTATACAATGGGAAATATTACTATTACAACATTAGTACTGTGATAACAGCAACTTGATAACAATGACGAATAAGGGGATGCGGTAGATAGCGCCCGCGGCTAGAAAAACGGAGTAGTGCGGCACAGACCAGCCGTGCATTAGGCTATGCTTAGGATCATATCTGCAGCGGTTGGGTGCACTTCCATATTAATCGATGACGATAGCAAGTCACCTTAACATTGATGGTGCAAGTGACTACGAACGAGATGAGTCATCTGCGGAACACGGCCAGGCGGCAGGCGGCTGGTCTTGGACAACGATATGCGTGCAACGTGAACTTTGAGAATCGATGGGTGCCACCATTGCCTAAGATATTATAGGCCAAAAAGATAACGACTGGGAAATGATAAGCCTATAGCGGCTTAACAAATACACAGCACAAGTTGCCCGGCCAGCGGCTTTGTACGCATGGCGTACAGTGTGGGAGGAACGGCACATACCACCGATAGCGTTCCAGACAGAACGCATTCGAGGATAGCCTCCGCTACTGACAACGCACCGCAGACCAATTTATAAACAATGAACATCGACACGAAGATGAGGATGAAGATGATGATGAGGATACACTGGGCTGATGGGAAGCGTGACGTAGTGATGGTGATGCTAAACTAATGTATAATTCGCAACTGTCATTTAATAATGATATGATGAAGTTAATGTACAATAATGACTACGTGCACTATGACTTAATAACTACGATAATCTATATTGGTGACACACGAGATCAATACGGTACGGATCTATAGAGCGGA